AACGGACTTGGCGACGGCTGAGGTTGCGGGAGGTCTGGAAGTATTCAAGGTTCTTGTGGTCGGTGACGACCTCGGTGGCTTGGGAGGAGAACTCGAGGTAGTGTCTCCATTGCTTGAAGGCTGCGACGATGGCGAGAAGTTCCTTATCATAGATTTGATAATTCATTTCTGCATCGAGCAGCTTCCGGGAGTAGAAGGCCACGGGGTGGAGGAGGCCTTCGTCGTCGCGCTGACTGAGAACAGCGCCAAGAGCATAGTCAGATGCGTCGGCTTCGATGACGCACTGACGCTCGGGGTCGAAGTGGCGGAGGACAGGACCGGTGCTCAGGCATTCCTTGAGCTTCAGGAATGACGTTTGAGCCGAGGGAGACCAGGAGAACTTGATGTCCTTCTTCAGGAGGTCCGTCAGCGGGGTGGCGATCTTGGAATAATCCTTGACGAACCGACGGTAGAAGTTCGCCAGGCCGAGGAAGACTTGGATGTCGTGGGCAGATCGGGGGATCTCCCACTCCTGGATGGCCTTGACCTTGTCGGGATCCATGGAGATTCCATCGGGCGAGATGATGAACCCGAGGAAGGCGACGGAGGACTGGTCGAACTCACACTTTTCAAGCTTGAGTGAGAGTCCGGCGTCTTGGAGCTTGGTCAGGACTTTCTTGACATGAGCCTCGTGCTCGGCAGGATCGGAGGAGTAGATGAGGATGTCGTCCAGGTAGACGACCACGAACTGGTCAAGGTATTCTCGGAGGACATCGTTGACGAAGGCTTGGAACGAGGCAGGAGCGTTGGTCAAGCCGAACGGCATGACGTTGTACTCGAAGTGGCCGTAGCGACAGCGGAAGGCCGTCTTCCACTCTTCACCTTCAGCGATGCGCAAGAGGTTGTATGCGCCTCGCATGTCGAGCTTGGTGAAGATCTTGGCCTTGCCGAGGTTGTCGAACGTCTCGGCAATCAGGGGCAAGGGACAACGGTTCGGCACGGTGATCTTGTTCAGGGCCCGGTAGTCGACGCAGAGACGGAGGGAGCCATCCTTCTTCTTGACGAACAGGACTGGGGCACCGGCAGGGGACTCGGAACGGCGGATGAAACCCTTGGACAAGTTCTCTTGGATGTAGGTGTGGAGGGCGTCCATCTCCGGCTTGGAGAGGTTGTAGACGGGCCCAAACGACGGGGACGCACCTTCGACCAACGGGATCGTGTGGTCGTAAGGGCGGTGCTGGGGGAGCTTGTCGGCCTCGGACTTGGAAAACACCTTGGCAAAGGACGAGTACTTGGAGGGGACAGAGGGCTCGGCCTTGGGCTTGGCTCCAGCGTCGACGGAGCAGAGGGACAGGACTCGGGCAGCATCCAAGAGGAACACTTCCAGGCCTTCCTTCTGGACGGCGTGCTGGAAGGGGATGCTGCCGATCAGGCTGACGCTGGGCAGGGACTGGGTCTTGGTCTTGGTCTTTGGGACGGCAGGAGGCAAGGCAGGACTGGGCTTGGGCACGGCAGGAGGCAAGGCAGGACTGGGCTTGGGCACGGCAGGAGGTAAGGCAGGGAGGATCTCGGGCTCGGCTGGGGACTCGGCTGGGGACTTGGCAGGAACGATCTTGGACTCGGGCAGGGACACGGCAGGCTCGGCGGGGACCTCAGCAGGGGACTCGGCAGGCGGCTCGGCAGGGCTGGACCTAGAGGACTGTGGCTCGGGAGAGAACGGGGAGGCCAAACTGTGGATAGAGGTGCAAGGCAAGAAAATAGAGTCATGGTGCCAGTCAAAGTAGGGCTTGTGTTTCTTGATCCAATCCATACCCAAGATGATCGGGTATGAAGCCAAGGGAATCAGCGCGAACGAGATTTGTTCATAGTGGCTGATGCCTGTGATCATAGAAACACAAACTCCAAGACTAGACTCCATCGAAGAACCATCGGCAAGAGTGATGACGAAAGAAGTTGCAAAGGTGGGGAGAGCGTGGGTTGCGGCGAATCCAGTGTCCATAAACGAAGTAACCGCGCCGGTATCGATCATGGCGGTTGCCCGTATGGACTCTGGACCGCACAGCAGAGTCACAGCGAGGGAGGGCTGACGTTGGATGTCAGGCTCGGGAGGCGAAGACGAAGAAGCAAGAGCAGTGGAAACGGTGGCAATGGTGACGGGGGCAAGATGGCAAAAGGCAGAAGAGTGATTTACCGTGGAGACATTTACAGGAGGAAGATTTATGACATGATTGACGCCTAGGAAAGCTCCTCCGACCTTTTCTAGGCAGAGAAGTTTTCCTGGTCGTCAAGTTTATTCACATCAACGACAGCCAAAGAAGCATCGATGGCAGCCAAGCGGGAGGATGCCTTATTGGGGCAGCGAAGGGCAATGTGCCCTTCCTGCTTGCAATAAAAGCAGCGGTTGGCAGCACGGAGGGCGGCCTTGTCCTCGGCGGTCAGCCTGCGAGCGGAGGCCTGGCTGAGGTCCATGGGCTGCGGAACGTTGAAGGCTTGAGCGGGGCGAGGAGGAGGAGCAGGAGCGAAGGGGCGAGGAGCCGGACGGAAAGGGAGAGGAGCCGGACGAGCAGGAGCAGGAGCAGGAGCGGAGCGGTGGTTGGGACGGCGGGAACGTTGGTCCTCCTGGCGGTTGTCGATGGCGATCGCCGCTTGCATGAGATCTTCGAGGTTGTCGAAGGAGCGGCGGGAGAGTTCGTCTTGAACCGAGGGCTTGAGTCCACTCTCGAAGTGGAACATGAGAGGGTCTTGGGACCAAGTGAGGAGGTGGACGGCTTGGCGGCGGTACTCGGCGGCATAGGCGGCGGCGGAGGTGACTTGGTAAAGCCTGACCATCTCGCGAGCAGCGGCGATGGTGGGCTGGACCTGGCCAAAGGCAGCACGGAGCCACTCGGAGAAACCGGCAAAGTCACGGATGGCAGGGGGAGAGCACTCGGGGTCTCTCTCCAACTGATCGATGTACGGCTGCATGTAGTCTGCAGCAGTACCATCGAGATAGGATAAGGCGTAGAACACCTTATCCCTTTCAGTCTGGAAGAGGGGAGGGTTGGACACGAAGGCCAGTCTGCAATGCGAGAGGAAGGCATTGCAGCGGCTCGGGTCCTTACCAGAGAAGCGATCAGGGGGACCTATCTGCCTGGTGGCAGAGTTGCGACCAGCAGGGTTGTCCTCGGGGTCTTGGGCAGGATCATCGACGTCGTCAGGAACGCCGAAGTAGGGGCGACCTGCACGACGGATCGGGGCGGGAGCGGGAGCAGGAGGAGGTAGCTGGGCCTGGTAGCTGCGGAGGGCCTCCTGGACACTGGCGGCGACCACTTGGCGGACATCCTCTTCACGGCGAGCCAGGACCTGGTCCATACGATCGGTGATGCGGTTGAGCGCATCATCCTGATCGTGGAGGAACTTGGAAAAGTCCTGGAGAGAACGGGCGTTCTCGGCGGACTGGATAATGACCGCACGGATGGCCTGGAGCTCGGGCTCGGAAAGGCCAGAAGGGGAAGCCATTGGTAAAAGAGATAGAGAAGGGGACGGGGCAAAGGCAGGGCAAGTGGGGGGTTGTTGAAGGTCTTGCCAAGTGTCAAGACTGGACAACGGGGCAAGCAGGGAAGTGCGCAAGAGTCCTAATGCAAGACTCGAACGTAGGGAGAGGAGCGGGGACTGGACTGGGACACAGAGTGTCAAGTGTGAAGCCAAAGTTTTATTCTAGATCCAAGGCTTAGGATACTAAAAATACAAAGTGGCAAGACGAAGGCAAAAGACAGAGGCTGGTCGGAGGGCTATTTATGCGAGCGCCAAGGATCGACGCTGCAGAGCGAGGGGGCAGGAGCGAAGCAGCGGCGGGGAGGGCGAAGCAGCGAGCGAAGCAGGTGGCGGCCGTGACTCGGGATCCGTGAGTCAGCGGGCGTCAGTGGCGGCGGCTTGGCGGCGCCAAGGCGTCAGGCGGCGTCGAGGCGGCGTCGTGGGCGTAACCCATGACCAACAGCAAGGGAGCGGGAACGGAACACAGGCAGCGCGCGTGCTTGCGGTAAGACAACAAGGCAGCACAGCGCGGGAAACAAACAAACAGAAGGAAGGGAAAGCACTAAGACAGGCAAACAGAAAGGAAAGGGCAAGGGTAAAGGAAGGGAGTGGGCAAAGGCAGAGGGTGTTCATGACAGACATCGATAGGAGCAATGCACATCAGCTGTGGACTACCAAAGATGTCGATGCGAGCAAAGATACTGGCACTCCAGACATGGGCAAGATGGGACGACGAGATCGCAGACAACTCAAAGATGATATCGATCGTCCTCAGAAACACCCGCTCACCCCCGTTCACAGGCGAGCAATTCCTTGGACACAAGCTGTTGCAAGACAAACACTGGCAACGACTAATGGCCAGGCAGGACACCAATCCTGAATTGACAGCGACCGAGGCCTTCCTTGGAACGGAAGCGTCGGCCTTAAGGAAGAAGGACAAAACCATAGGGACACAAAGGAGCTGGTTCCACCCGTTCCTCGACCCCGATAGACCACTACTCTGCAACAACCCAGAGTGGACACTGCGACTAGCCCGGGACCTACAGAAGAACAGGTATCTTCGAGCATTCCCAGACCCGGCTAACGGACGAGCACGACATCGACAGCGAGCCCAGGCTGCCCAAGAGGACGACTTGGCGATCCCTCTGCGAGAAGCCATCCTCACAGAACACATGAGGACAGCGTTCAAACGAGACCAACAACTCACAGCCGCATGCACACCGACAACCTCGATGTCGGCACTGTGGAGAGCCGAAGGATACACAGGTAGTCAGCCTATCCTCGAGCTAATGATTCGATGGCGACTTGGGATATTCCCAGGACACACCAAGGGAGGAAGCAGACCCTGCCGATGGTGCTCCAAGAACGGAATCAAAGTAGACCTTAACCGTTCCCACGCTCAAAGATGCGTCGACCCCAAAGGCATCTTGGCAAGAAAGGTCAACGAACTCGCACGGACCCACCCAAGCTGGGTCAAACCCACAGTCGAAGGAGTGGGGCCTATAGACATGCTGCTTGACTTGCTGGAGTTTGAAGCCAAGAAGGATAGAGAAGAGCAACAGCAGCACACTGGTGTGGGAACCCAAACACCAGGGAGAGAGAGACATGGCAATAACAATAATAATCACTCGGTGGGGAAGCGAGGGGAGAGACCGGGGCTTTTGATCGCATCAATAGTCTCGGATACAGATGATGACACTGGCATCAGTGATGCTGATGTAGACGACGACTTTGATGATCGAGATCGGCTCTGGAGCTCTCTACCGGGAGTGATTGCTCGGATGGGGAGGCTCCGACTGACTGGCCCCGAAGTGGACTCGGACCTTGGCTCTGAAGTCAGCTCAGTGTCAGACTACGACATTGACTTTGACTTCTTGGTAAGAACCGACCCAACGCCGAGACCAATCTGGGACGAGCTTGACGAACTGTCTCTCGATAGTGGAAGACACTACTGCTGGGACACTGACCAGAGTTTGGACTTAGTATCCCACTCCGATCATAGTGGGGACCTAGTGCCTCACTCTGACCTTGGTGGGGACTTAGTACCTCACTCCGACCAGAGTGTGGACTTAGAGCCCCACCACCCCGAACCGAGCTCAGACCTTGCCTCGGGGTCGAACTGGGGAGGAACCTCAGAGGCAGACACCGAGTCTGGCTCAGAGTACTCCCCTGATGGCAACCAAGACTCCCTCCCGAACCGAGACCGAAACCGGGCCAGGGAGACGAATAGACATCCGGTCCCCGGCCCTGAACCGAGAGTGGTTCCCACGCCCTCCCAAGGACGAAGTACTGACCCGATCCCAGAGTCCGACGATGACTTGGGTCTGGGGCAGACCCCAGGATACGAGATAAATCCCGAGTACCCCTCCCACAGACAAACTCACACTCCCTTGAGGGCAAGTCAAGACCCAACACCGCACAGCAAACCCTGGAGTGGGTTCGAGTTGATACTAGAGGGAGACTTGGATAAACCAACCCCCGACATCCCTGAGAGGGACCTGGAAACGTGCGACTCCCTCTGGGAGTTATTAGAGGGAGTGTTCACCCGCATGGCTCGCCGTGTGGGCTGGAGAGTCGGCGAAGGCCGCAACAGGGGTGTATGAGCGAGCTTGGCCACCCACTGCCGGGTATCCTGCGATACTGATGGCATGTTGAATATTCCTGAATATACAACTATCAAAACAAAAAAAAAAAATCAGGATGTCGTCAAGATAAATGACAACACAGACACCAAGGAGGTCCGAGAAGATGTCGTTCATAAAAAACTGGAAAGCAGCGGGGGCATTCGAAAGACCAAAGGGGATAACGTTGTACTCAAATGAGCCAGATTTACAAACAAAAGCAGTCTTCCACTCATCGCCCTTCTTGACACGAACCAAGTGGTAAGCATCAGGGAGGTCAAGATGTGAAAAGACGCGGGCAGAAGAAAGTTTATCCAGAAGATCCTGGAAGAGGGGAAGAGGGTAACGATTCTTCTTCGTGATGGCATTGAGGCCCCGGTAGTCGACGCAAAGGCGAAGACCACCATTGGGCTTCTTCACGAAGAAGCAGGGAGCACCAACGGGAGAAGAGGATTTGGAGATCCAACCACGTGCGAGGGCGTTGGTCAGATACTCCGAAAGAGCAGATTCCTCGGCCGGGGACAAAGGATAGACTTTCCCCGGCTTTGGCAAACGAGGTTCCTTTCCATCCTCGGTCCGTACAAACTCAATAGACAAGTCATACGGACGATGAGGAGGCAAGGAAGAAGGAGGGTCAGACTTGAGGCTGAAAACGTCGCCAAACTCATTGTATTTGAGTGGGACACCTCGAGAGTCAACGGGGGTGCCAGACTCGGCATACACCTTCGTCGTGAGCACGGACCTTATCGACACCGTAGGATACGTCTCCGGCGAAGGAGGACGGATATCCATTTGGGCAGCGAAAATGTCGAGCTTGTCTTCCCGTGCAAGACGGAGAAGACTCGCCGCATTAACGAGCTCAATGTCGGGTGAAGATAAAGCCGTTGGCTCTTCAGAAAGCGAAGCAGAGTCAAGGCGGGAAGAAAGGGAAGGCGAAGTGCCAAAGGAGGGAATCGGTGTAATGAAAGGACCGAAGGGAGGAAGAGTCAAAGGCGAAGTGCCCGAAGGGGGAGGCAAAGAGCCGGAAGTGGACGAAGTGTCCAAGGAAGAAGCAGAGACCTCCGCGAGGATGTGTCCATCAGCAAGGCAAGATGGATCGGAGAATGAAAGGGAGAGGGACTTCCAATTGACAACTGGATTATGCAAGCGCATCCAAGGAAGACCAAGAGTGATGGGGGTGGTGGAGAGTCGAGTCACAAGAAAAGAAATCGACTCGGTGTGGGAACCAATGGTCAGAGTCACAGGAACGGTTTGGAAACGAATGAAACCGGCCGAAGAGCCATCAGCAAGGGAAACGGAGTAAGGAGTAGAAAGAGGGATAAGAGAGAGTTTATGAAGATCGGCAAAGGCAGGATCAATGAGGGCAAGAGCGGAACATCCATCATCAATGAAAACAGAAAGGGAGATGGAGACCGGGCCAGAAAGACTCATGACGATAAGAGTGGCCGGAAGAAGAAGCTTATCGTCCGATAATGACGAGTCAAAGGGGGAAGATGTTCGTATCGCCGAACAGACCACCTCGCTTACTTGCGAGGTGCTGCTCGGCTGTGGGCATTTCCCGAGTTCCGTTTGACCAGAACCGGGCACTGCTGAACATCGCGACTGCCGGGACAAGACTTTTCCCCGCAGTACAAACAGAGACCCTGCTCACGACGTCGCTTTTTCTCGACGTCGGAGAACTTAGCAGGGCGGACCGAGACAGAGTCAAGGTCCATGGGAGTGGGCGCAGAAGAGGAGGAAGAAGAAACATGCGCGGGAGAATGGTGGTGATGGGGAGCAGAGCGAGAAGAAGGAGGAGGAGGTTGGGAACGGGAGGAGACCTTGAGACGATGAAGGGCATCGTCGTACTCGACCGCTGCCTTGATCAACTCGGGCAAGGAAGCGGGAGCGGGGCGGAGACCGATCAGGTGGAACTTGACCTCAGACTTCAAACCCTCCTTGAAGAAGTGCATCTTGGTGGGTTCGTCGGTCTGGACTCGGGCGGCAAGTTGGACGAAGCGGGTGGCAAAGGCTTGGCAGGATTTTAGTTGGACCAGGCGCTTGAGGTCGTTGAGGGCCTTGTCTTGCGAGGAGGCCGTGTCCTCACCGAAGGTCGACTTGAGGGCAACTTCGAAGTCGGCGAAGGAGGCAGGGAAGCGGTTGGCCATGTAGAAGGCGGCCTCGTACCACTTGAAGGCCTCGCCGCGGAGGAAGGAGGTGGCGTAAAGGACCTTCTGGCGCTCAGGCGCGAAGAAGGCGGGATCGGCGAGGAAAACCAGGTGGCACTGGGCGAGGAAGGCCGTCGTTTCATCGCGGGAACCTAGGAACTCCTTGGGCTTGTTGACCTGGTAGACCTGGCGGGGAGCGGCGGCGGGAGCTTGCAGATCTTGGATCTGACGATGGAGAGCAGCGTTCTGGGTCATGAGGGCGTTCATACGCTCCTCCATGCGCGCCAGATACGCATTGAGATCTGCAGGGGGTGCAGCAGGCTCAGCCATCGGATCGACAAGGGAAAGGGAGGCGAAAGAAGAAGAAAGGCCGGGAAGCCAAGAGGGAGCGTTCAAAATGATGTTAGAGTCCGAAGGGGACTCAACGGCAAAAGAAGAAGTGAGCTCGAAGTGAGCTCAGGGAAAGCAAGGGTAAAGTCCGAAGTGGACTCGGAGAGGGAGCGAGGGAAGCAAAGATCCGTTCAAGATAAGACTTGTCTCGAAATGAGACGTGAGGAACACTCAGAGAATAAAGTAGAAGGCACTTTATTTAGTCCTATTTTGAACGCTGAGGTTCGACTACACATCGCGGGGGTCAGGCTATTTATAGACAAGTCCGGACTTGGCAGCGAAGGGCGGCCAAGGGAGGGAAAAGTGGGCGATCGAGCAGGGCGAAGGGGGCGATGCACGAACGAGGGCCGAGAAGGACCACCGAGACGGGCAGAGAACCAAAGCGAGAGAGGCGCAAGCAAAAGCGAAGCACCTGGCAGGAGAAACGTGCAAAGGCGAAGCAATGTGACTCAACATCCAAGAAGCGGATTGGTCAAGTATAAGGTTGGGGCAAATGCATGCGAGATGAACAAGAGATCGGGGCGGTCAGGCAGGTCATGAGTCACCGGTGGGGGGACACATGACCGGCAGCCGAATTGCAACCAATCGCAGCAAGGCGCGTGCACAAACAAACCGGCGCGTGCGAAGAAGACAAAGGAAGCGGAGCAGCGCGGGGAAACGGAAGTGCTGAATGGGCGGAAATGGCAGGCAAAAGGCGGAAAATCGGAGGGGAACTACAAAGCTACACACAAACAAACAGAAAGCGCAAAGGAACAACCAAGTGTGCAGTCAAAGTGGAAAACAAGCAGGAGCTATCCCTAACA